TGAAAATGGCCTTATAAAATATTCAAGGAGATTACTGTCAATGAGGCTTTAGAAGCAAACTTCTATTAGAAGAGATAAAAGAAACAAAAGAAACGTAACTGCATTCCCCCTCACCAGTCATTTATTGGATGCCTACTATTTACAAAGCACTGTATCAAGGCAGTGTGGCAGGGGCAATGCACAACCAGATGTCTGAATCCCAACAGCTGGGGACTGAGAGAGAGAACACGTGCATGGCTACACTGCTCCAGGGACAAACTGAAAGCTGCATTTATCTCCTCAAGTCTACTCCATAAACTAAATAATATGTCCTTCAAATTATGCCATAAACTGAATAAAATTGTATTATCTTTCCAACATGACTATTCTAGAAATCTGTTCAGGACTTCACTAACCATTAAACCTGATAAGGATTACAGCAGAGCTGTGGCAAACCTGGAACTAATATAATATCCTCGGGGGCCTTTTTTTCTTTATAACATGTATTGTGACATTTAACATGTTAAACCTTCATGTTAAATTAGAGGAAATATTCAATGAATTAAACATATTTATTGACAATTTGCATGGTTACAGGAGTTTACATGTCTTAAGAGTTTTTGAAAAGTTGATTTAGAAATTCTCTGAAATAGCCAATTCCTTTCTAAACTTATTCCCAAATAAATAAACTCACTTGAATGGAGATATCCAAAGTTCTTATTCAAAGTCAAAATTTTAGGAGTTTCCTCTAGTTCTTTGGACTTTTAATTTAGATTTTTGGTGACTTGGAGTAATTTACATCTCTCCTTTTCATATCACAATAAAATCACTAACATATCCTTTCATCTAATATTTGAAAGCTTCACTAAACATGCATGGTGGTTTCAATATAACCATTTTATAGCAAGGTCCTTCTGATTTAGTAATTAAATCAGATTAGTAATTAAATCTGATTTAGTAATTAAAAATGCTTTATACCAAACATAACTATCCTATAACATAGTGTGGTCTACATTGAATTGTACCACTCCTAAGTGCAGTATATTTTCTACCAACCCTCATAATGGAAAACACAAAATTATTTTCTAACAGTATTATATATAAGATGAAAAGGAAAATTTAAAAACAGTGCTGAAAATCTTAATTTAAATCAACAGGTCATGTTAATGGTTTTTTTAAACAAGATTAGAATGGCAAATAAGCTTCAGTAGTAAATCTTAAAGGCTTCTATATTCATTACATTGTATATTATATTTATATGAAAGACTATGATCTAGTGTTTGGGGCATAAGTGTAAGGATCCACCCATACTAACTAAACCTTTACAAAGACCATGAAAAGTTAATTTTCTGTGCTTCCATTTCTTTCCTCAAATAGGGATAAGCTTTTTGACTGACCTCAAAATATGTTATTTTCTAAATGTTAATGAATAAAAATTATTTGAAGATGATTAAGCAATGTCGGTCAAAATTTCTTGCCTGCTATAATGAATATTGTAACATATGCAACTTTTTTAGAGATTCTAAACTGCCTCCATCTTATAGGAGTTTATAATTGTATTCATATGAGGATAAATTTCCAAAATCTTACTATAATGCTAATTATTAGCTTAATTTTCCAATAAGTAGATTACACTTTATTGATTATTTTTGAAATAGTAACAACTCCCAAATTACTTTTTAAAATGTAATGGAAAAATGAAAAATTACAAGGAGCAGTAAAAATTAAAATGAGCTTAGAAATACAACATTTTAAATTATTACATAATTCAAATTAAGTTTGTGTATATATTTGGAAGGAAAAGTTTCAATAGTTCATTTTCTTAAGTTAAAATAAACTCATTTGAGATTTCAAATGCTATATTTAATTCAACTGGCTTTTTCTCCCCTCCTCATACAGCATCCTACAATCACACTAACTTTGATTTTGATAGGTTCTTAGTCCTAAAATTTAATTTTTTATTTCAAAACACTCAAACTACATAGGCTTGAAGGTATCTGTATGGCATAGCTACTAAAAATAAAGTTTCAAGTCACAGACAAAAATTACAAATGTATATTTTAATGCAGCTACTGCCTTTAAAAGTTATCCTAAGTAATAGTCAATATCATTAAAATCTTTCCCAATAAAAGTTTGGATTTTTTTGTTTTAATGATACAAATCTATAGTGAAATGATGAAGTCAAAAAACAAGTGTTCTTGTCAGAAGACAGGAAGGGAGTTTTATCCCCTCCCTTAAGGAAAACAAAGGATTCCTGAAAGCTTTGCCCTGATTTATTTTTCCAATTTTAAATACCTTAAGAGTAGCGGAACTGCTACTGGCATGGTAGTATTTCTAACAGTCAATAAATCTAAAATATTATGTGTGAATATTGGAATGAAGCCATTAAGAAGATTACAGCATGCAACACAGCAGAGGGTCCACAGGAAAAAAGAACTGGTAATTCAGGACAACTGTGACCACTGACCTTCGAACAGCCAGGACCACTGGTCAACCTGACACAGAAATAATAGAGTACACATGCACCAAAGTCATCTAGCCTTAAGTATAGTTCAAATGCCCCAGTAGATGATTTTAAAAGGCCCTCCATTTAAATCTGTTAACTTACTAAACAATCAAACATACCAACAGTAAAAGACTTCGAGTACATTTTATTAATGCAAACCACATACAAAAATTCATTGAGATTATTCATGATTTTAACACAGACATTAAAAACACTTGCCATTTAAAAACTATCTCGTGATACTTGGTCATGTTTCCTCCAGAACTATCAGAGACAGTTTGGAAAACTGATGAAAAAGCTACATTTATTAGAGATGGGTTAAGTGGTCACCTAAAATGTTCTTGGAAAATTAGTATAACTTTAAAATATCTACTATTTCCAACAAATGGTCTTAGTTCACTCCCAGAGCTAGTTTGATTTTCTCAGTCTACAAATTTTTCTGTAGGTCTTGGCTTTCAACTTTTTTTTTTCTTTCTCCTTTTTTTTTATGTTGTTTACTTACATGTGTATACATTGTGCCCCTCCCCCAACCTCCCCTCCCCATCCCCGCTTCCAGGCAGCATCTACATAATCAATTTATACCACCTTGCCATGTTTCTTTTTTAAAAAAAAACTTTTCTTACAATATTTCAATTATGTTTACTTATAATGTTAAGAGTAAACTATGTGATAGACTCCTGTGTCATTTTATGTGCTTGAACTTACACATTCTGTGAATGCTGTTTAACTTGGCCATTTATTAAATAAATGCTTGAGATGTTAAACTAATTCTACAGTGAAAGTAGTACTTCTCAATTTAAAAAGACTCATCCTCAAAAATGCAATTTCGAAGGCTCACTTCATGTAATCATCTCATTGAAGCTGACTAGAAAATTTTCAATACCATATACAGGAAAGCTGGATTTCTCTTTCTCTTCCTTTTATTCATCTTTTTTCTTTTCAATAAGCAATCCTTTCTCCTTAAGGCATTAACAGTAAGAAAAACACACACGTAAAGAAAACATTTTAAAAAATTGGGCTCATAATTATTTCTCTATCCAGTGACAGATGCTTTGATGTATTTCTAAATGAATAACTAATCATTTTTAGCAGTTTCTACAAATTTTTACAATGAGGCAAGTTACGCTAAGCTAAAAAAGATAACTGTTCACTGGCCTGGGTTTGAATTTGTTTAAACACAGAATAAATTGTAGTAATCAGATAAAGGAGTTCAGAGCAGTGTGTTTCAAGGTCAGTGAATATTTTATGTCATTTATAGGCAAAATAATACGATTTTGATTTTAAATTCCTATTTTTCTATCACTACCCATAAGAACAATTAAGGCTAGTAGTGAATGTTTTAAATTTGTGATTTTTAAATTCACCTGCTCAAACTCCTTAATAACGGACTTTAAAATGTACTTTACAGAAAATACATTATAAGACTTTTAATTCACAAAATTTAATATCCTTGAAAAGAATGGATGCTTTGATTTTTTTTAAAGAGTTATTTTAAACTTACAATTGTGTTAATAAGGATGTTTATAAATAACCATTAAATAAAATATATGCAGAAAAAGGACTAGCTTGCATTTTTCCCTATACTATGGAATACAAAGGCCAAAAATGCTCTTATGGAGACTATTTAACATGAAATACAGAATATGGCCCATTATAAGCTGCACACACACACACACACACACACACGCACACACACACATGCACGCATGCACACACACACACACCCCTCTGTAAGATCAAAGACCAGAAGAGAACTGGCACTTAATTTATCAGCCTTTACAGACAAAAGACAGTTTTCGTCATTTCAAAAGGATCCGATGTCTTTTATGACAAACTGGGTTTGCAGTTTAATTTACAAATAGAATTCTAAGTAAGCAGTCTTTGCTCTGCCAAGGCAAATGACAAACAGTGTAGGTTTTCATTCCTGCAGCCCTCAGCAGGGTAGAAAAGATTAAAATAAAACTGAAATAATTTAGAGAAAACAAATAAATGTTTCAGAAAGTTGAGGAGATCAAAGCAGAATTTTCTGACCCCAACTGTACAAGCATTTCTTATTATATTGACCAGTGCTATCAGATCACTAATTAAAAGGAAAAGTGCTGGCAGGTGGCAGGGAAGCAAAAGCTGGTAATTGGCCCCCTTCTTCTTCTTGTCTTCAAAAACTCTCTCATTCTTTTGCAAGACATGCCACTAGGCAGACAGAAATGCCTACTTTGTAATATAATGATTAAGATGAGATGAAGAGACTTACGTTTAAAGAAACTCTGCCTAATGAATGCATCTAGCTTTTTAATTATAATCCTGCTTCTACAATCAAGGAATATGACTTCCATTCAACATCTCCTTAACTGCCAAAAGGTAAAAATATCAAAAATAGAATCTACATTGATTCCTCTCATCCCTGTTGCACACATCCAACCCTTTAAGTTCAGATTTTATTTCAGAGTTCATTTCAGTAACTCAAGCATCCAGGAGAAAACATGTATGTTCACCACGAAATATCGCTCAGACTTACCACGTCACTTGGGAGGTTGCTCAAGTCATTAAATGGTGACTCTAAAGTGTTTGTGTCAACATTTAACATAACCACATCTTCCAATGATTTGCTTTTCACTCTCTGTTTAGAAAACACAAGCATACAAGAAAATCTTATGATATTTTCCTTACAGAAATATTATGAGTTTGGAAACACACAAATTATCTTAGCATATTATTAGGCTTGGGAAAATTAAAAAGGAAAATCCTATATTATAAAAGAATATAAACAACTTTGTCTTCTGAGAAAGGAAGTTTGACTATAACCTATTAAAAACGATTTGGTAAAAATGCTTAAAATAAAAGATTTGCTAATCTAATATTTAATCAATTCAACTACCAAAGAGATATCACAACAAAGACTTATAAAATAGATACAATTGCATCAAACCTTAGAAACTTGTAGCCTTTGTAATTTACCAATTGAGTATCAATTCCATGATATAGGATTCTGCATCCAGCTCTTCACCTATTTTTAGCATACATTATATTTAAGGACAACATAAACCAAGAACTATGATTACAGTATTAAACTACATTTTTACAATGTTTTATTAGCATAAATTGTAGAAAGGATTTCCATTGTGATATTTACATACATGAATAAAATGTACTTTGATCAAATTCACTCCATTTATATTATTCTTTCTTAAGCCTCTCCCTTCTCACACATTATGCTATTTTCATATGTATATGTAATTCACTTTGATCATATTCACCCACCATTTAAATTAACTTTAAAAGAATAAATATTTTCTCATATTTCCATACCAACAGGTATACATTGAAGGAAGATTAAAAGTGTAGTAAGAAAATAAGAGAGGACACTAATATGCAATCTATTGTTAGCAATATTCTTCACATTAATTTCAAAGTAAAGAATCAAATTTAATGGGCTAACATGACTGACAATCCCTTTGATCTTATTTATTTGAATGTTTAGTCAAAATAGTCAAAATATCTCAATATGTCCACAAATGACAGTCAATTAGATTTTTATCAATCCTTAATAAAATTTTTTCCATCCTTAATAAAGGAAACATTCATTGTTTATTAAATCATTGAATTCTAATGTTTCATTTAAATAATAAATAAGTGATAAGTAGTGCAATCACTAATGAAATATATCTATGAATTCAGAATTCTGTAATTGTATAGGCCAACCAATAAAAGATCAACAACTAATTTCAGCGGAATATTTTTAAATCACGTTCTAGAACAAAAGTCATGTCTGATTATTGCTTAAATGCCTTAAATTTTACAATGGCTTAATGAATTATTTTGTATTAGTGGGTTATGACTGAAATTTCTCTGATCTGTTTAGAATTTTAAATCTCTAAGTACTTACCAGAATGTTAAATTTGCTAGGAAAAATGGTAGTTTAGGGTTGGGGACATCTATGTTTTAAGAAAGCAATAAAATCTGTGTGGAGTATGACTTCTCAGGGGACACATGAGTCCAAAACTATGTCTCATAAAAGATGGTGTAAGTATCATATATAAGTCTTACTAGTAAGTAAGACTTAACAGATGGCTTCTTCTTAAACATTAGCAGAGAATCACTTTTAGTGATACTAATGATATTATTGTAAAAACATGTATTTAAAATTTTTTTAAATATACGCATTTCCTTTCTTTTCCATGTGTACATATATAGAAAGGTTTAGATACATAAATATTTGATTATCTATCAATTACCAATAATGTAATTACAATCGTAACTAACTTCATAAACAAAAATATACTGGCATTAATGGCATTTGTGCATAAAAAGCTTGACATAAATATTATCTCCATCTTCAGTTTTAAATTATCCTTATGCCAGAAGCTGTAGAAATAATCTAGAAGACTGAGTATGTTTTTCCAGGGATGAAACAAGTTTGTCTAAATTGCCTAGGATAATGTCTATGTACCCCCTCCCTATAGTTTCTGTTCCGACAATAAGACTAAAGTCTGAAAACTTTGGTATTAATATGAAATTTGTATTTTTTTTCAAAATTGCTTTCAGCTTTACAAAGTCAGATAATAATTGAATATTAAATTTTGTTTAAGGGACCACTAACCAAGAATAAAAAAAAATTTATTCCTAATCAAATTGAGACTTCCTAAGGTTAGAACAACTCTACATAAGCAAAAGAAAAAGACAAAATATAATGCAACATTTTAAAACTATTTTTAATGAACCTTCAGATGTAAGTATTCAATCTATTCTTTTCTCTCCAAATAAAGCTTAAGGTATTTTTTTCTCAATAAGTGTGGAAACTCATAAATGGTTCCTCTTAACTCTCTCATATTTTTATATGTCATAGGTTACGAGATACAAATTTAAGAGTGAGAATTTGCTTTTCTCTTCAAAAATAAGAAATATTACTGGAGACAGATTTTAGGTTTTATGGGGGAGCAATAGTCAGGTGTTAAAGTTGGTAAATCTTTTATACATCCTTTGTATCTAACCCTTCCACACAATGTACCTACAAATGCATGCTATGCATATTAATGCAAAGAAATGACACAGTGGCAGAAGTCATGTGGCTTTAAGACATTTATTCTTAGTCACTTACATGCCTTCATTTGCTCCTAAAAGTCTAGTTTTAAGGGAGAACAAAAAATGTCTTTTCCTTTATCTTAAAACGAAATTTATATTTCAAAATGAGATTTTTCACCACCCATTACACATAAATAATAAAAATAAATGAAAAATTCTAAGACATTAATTTCATGTCTTAGAAACACTGCATCTGGAAGTTTTAATAAAACTGAGAATGCATGCTGAAACCGGCTTAGCCAAGAGAGGAAAATGAATATTTTGATTCTCCTTTAAAAAATTAGTTGTAATTGCAAAACTAAATGCAAAAAATTTATTCAGCTCAGTTTCACATATTAACTACACAAGTAGCTAGACCTAATTCCAACTTTAAGATACTATAAAACAAAAAGTACTAAAAATAGAAATTTTAGTTTAAAAAAATCTATCCAATAATGACTTAATAGTAATTGAATTTCTATATGTATATCATCTCGTAGCCAATTAAGCAAGTTACTAAATGATACTTAACTAGTTTAAACAAATTCCTTCTCAATTACTATTAAACCACATAAACCAAATAAAACTATTAAGATACTTGGATAAATCCAGCACATAGAATTCAGAGATTTCAGCCAGTGTAATCTCGGTTGTTTAAAAAAAAAAATCCCATTTAAAAACAGGAGCTACTTAAAAGTTAGAATGGACTTATTTCTCCAAGACAATACTTTCAAAAAGTATGTAATTCTTTAATTTTCTCCTTAAGAATACTGAAGTTCTTTATATGTGGCCTTTATCTAACAAACATATGATAAATATAACAGAATACTTACAACATACACACCTGTCTCTAGTAGTTTGGAAAAGCCAAATTGTTTGTTTTAAAGGTTGATGTAGAATCAATATGAAAAAAATGGCATAACACCAACAGGTGTATAGCCAACAATCTTAAATACTTTTCAACTCTATAAATAAACGTATTATAAAAAGTATGTGACCTATTTAGATACATTAAATATAGAAAGATATGTACACTAGTATGAAAAGCAAATTCAAAGGCTCTTAATTTTTTTTTTTTTTTGGTAGTACTGGGGTTTGAACTCAGCAACTCTCTAGAAAAAAGTTCAAGCATGGACAGATTTTTATGTGACATATCCCATGATCTAATAACAGGTTAAATACCTACTTATTCATGCTTCATTCATATACTTTATCCTTTCACCGTACATACCTGGGCTTGTAAGAAACAAGTTTTTAAAAAAATTAATAAAATATAGAGTCATAAATTTAGCCAACCCAGACCTCAATACTAAAAACAAAAGAAACCCATTAAAAGTTCATAAAAATCTATTCCCTACTAATAATGAAACAAATAAAAAATACTGTCCTGGCATTTTGCAGAAAGAAACAAATACCCAAAATTGAGGACAGGCAGAATTTCATAATCCAAGCCTACTTTTAGGGGCATTAGTCTCAGAATGAGATACTCAGGGGCTTTAAAATATATCTAGAGTCTTCCTTGATCAAAATAAGGACTGATGGTGTACAGAGATGGCAACCAATAAGAAAACCACACCTAACTCATTGGAAACCAGGTTAAATTATTAATGTATACAGTCAGTGAAAAGAGAAATTTATCTGAAAGTCAGCATAATGATGTCATTCAATTGACTCAGATCTTCTGCTGTAACACAAGCCTCTTGCTTATTATCTTTAGGTGTTAACTTTGTAAGAAGTATTCTCAAAAGTTTAAGGTATTTAAAGTTCCAGGGGGTCTCACTATAGGGATAACATAGGTGATAAAAATCACTTTGGAGTTATGCGGTGACAATGGTAAAAGTTAAAACTTAAAAAAAGAAGCTACATTTCCAATTAAAAAGTTTATCATGGATGCATTAAAACCATATTTTTAAAAAGCATAATGATAAATTGGAAAATAACAGTGTTTTACAAAATAAGTCATAACTATGTAAATTTTGACTTTAAAATGTCATCCTAAAAAAGAGATTATGAGACCTGAAGTTACCATGCAGCAGTGGTTTATTATGGATTAAAGTGTTTATACTTAAAACTTACCATGTGACTTCTACCAAACGTAACCTACTTTCCTGGGTTTCATGCCACTGAATATGATAATTTAGCATATTGATTTAAATGAGATTATTTCGTTACCCTTTTTTAATGACCATTTAAGTACATCCTAAGTATGCAGCTAGTCACCACTTGATATTTATTATCCCATTAATATTCCTTCAAACAAAACTGTTTTAACTATTTTATTAAGTTAATTTTATCACTATCTCATGTCTGAAAGATACTCACCTCTATGAGGCTGGAGTGTATTCCAATCAGGTATGGCATTGGGGCACTAAATTAAAAATATATATATGTATAGATTCATATAGTTCATTAAAACTGAAACAACAATATAAGTAATTCAAATGCTTAAAAATTAAATGTATTAAATGCTCAGTTTAGGCACTGCACATTACAGATATTCAAAATTATCCTTTATATGAAACTCAAATTTAATCTTAAAGGACATTAATATATTTAATGTAAGGTTGGTTTATATAAAAAAAAATCATAAAATGATCTATAATTAAATCAAGAGTAATAATGCCTAAAACACATTTTTGATTTAAGATGACAATCAGGGTCTAGGCCATAGTCTGAGTTGAATCTTTTCCATACACCTCATAGCAAAAATACCCTAAATAGTCATCAAATTTATTTACATTTCCTTTGCACATCTTTTCTAATACTTATTCCTACAGTTTTTAAAAACGTATCTTCATTGTTTCATACCTATTATGTCACTAAATATTTATTGTGGAAGCTATTCAGTCAGTCAATCAATCATCAAATATTTATTGAGTCTGATTGTGTGCCAGGCCCTGTTCTGGAACCAAAAGTGCAAAAATAAACAAGTTCTCCTACTGTGCTATCTTTTCTCTCATGTACCTCATCTTTCATTTAGATTTTACAAATTCAGATTCATTCTACTTCCACTGTTATTAGTAAAATAATTATAATAAATAGAAAAATATCCAAATATAAGAATGACTTTGAATTAACTAATTCTGCACATAATATTTGGAGCATACGATTTGCCAGGCCCTTGGGGGTAGCCTAGAAAAAATAGAAACCAACATAGATACACTATGTTTCCTTTTGGATCTCATACTATGGCAGAGAATAGAGACACTAAATTTTTAATACATGCATTCTGAATTACTAGTAATTTTAGAAACATTTCTCAGGAAGTATAACACAGAAATTATCCAACTTGAAATTTCAAACTCAATTATCATCTACCAAGAAAACATGAGAACAGACAGATATCTACAGAGGTGATAAAAGATGTGTGAACAAATAGCTACTTCAAAATAAAACATTTTTGGCAATTCTCTTATAGACATCTCTGTGCCTTATTAATGCAAACCTTTTCTGTGAATGCAAACAGATAATCCTCTTTTTCAAAGGATTAGCATAATTTTCTAAACATCACTGTCATGATAAAACAGAGCTGTCCAAACTCCTGTACCTTCACTTTGCTGCTGAGAACCAACAACAGATAAAACTCACTGGCACCTTGACAGATCCAGAGATTCCAAAGTCATCTCAAAAAGTTCCAAATTTATTTAAGGATGGCTAAATACCAACCAATATATCCAGAATGCATAACAGAAGTGTTCAAGTTCTTATCGTGCTTCTCGTTAACCTGCACTTTCTAGCTCACTACTTTTATTGCCCTAGATTCTAATTCTTGGTGGCCTTTGCTTTTTGTAGCCTTTTTCCTTTCTATTCTTTTTAATTTGTATTCAGCAGACCATCTGGAATTGATCTGATATTCTGTATACTTCATTTGACTCAAGGTTGAGAACTATTTAAAGGACTTGATATCCTTAAAACCTAACAGATTTTCTGTCGTCAACTGTTCCACTCTTGCTTGAATGAAGGCAGGCCAGTTATTTCCTTAATTCAAGTTCTCATCCCTGGGCTCCTTCTGGGAGCCTACAGAAGCTGTAAAATGCTTTTTACAATATCACTATTGTGGGTTGCTGGGACAGCTTTCACATAACAAGCTAGATAACTCCTAAGATCTCAAATATGTCAAGCCCACCAAACATCCAGAATAGGTCACTGTGCAAGCTTCCAATTGCTCCACCCTAGAGTCACCTACGCACAGGTTTATACTACAGAAAGCCCATGGGACCTCAAATTCCAAAGCACATTTTAATAAGTTAATCAAAATAATAATAATGATTAAGACCATCTCACAGGTGTGGAAGAGATACTGGGTACACCACAGTTTCATAAAAGGAGAGCCAAAACTGCTAAATAATCTACTGAAATCTTTGGAAAGACATCCAGAAAAACAGTTTTAAATGTTTAAGAGAGCTGCCAGGTGTGGTTCAGCTTATGAAACTTCCCTTTTAGAAACTAAATCTGATAGTTTCATAGAATGAGTCATATAAAAATCTAAGACCATCCTAGGACTTTCCATCAGTGCACTTATTCTGAAAAGATAAGAAATAGAGGGCAGTACTGTTTCTTCTTTTTGGTAGCAATTAATCTTTCCTTAAAAATCATCTTCCCTTTTTCTTTTTGCATTTCTTACAAAGAGAACATCCTTGGCATACATAGAACTTAGGAGGAGATAGGAAGCCAGACAGGCTAAGAGTTCAAGGCCAGCCTGGGCAACATAGGGAAACCCTCTCTTAAAATAAAAGAAAAAAGTTTATGAAAGTTACTTATCTTTTGAGAAATAAACAGTACATTTATAGAAATTATTAGACTAGGATCAAAATTTCAAGAAAAACTCCTATGCACATCTTAATAATGAAGTAGCTCAAAACTTTTTTTAACAGGATTACTAGGTATCACCAATGTATTTTTTTCCCACTATGGTTTCTAACAAAATCTAAAACACACAAATGCTTGAACTATAAACACTGGTAATCTATTGCATAACTTTCTATAGTAATTATAATATTTTTCAGAATACAGAGTTACTTGAATAGGTATTTCTCACTTCTTCACATTGGATTGTGTCTACCCTAATATGAAATAAGTCAATTCTAATGACAAGTAATTTTGCAACTCTAGCTGAAATTTGCTCATTAGATTATGGTGTTAATAATCAGGAAGAGATCTTTGGCAACACAGATATTTTATCATCCATGTACAAAACTATCCTAGGTCTCTCTATCAGTGAAGTTATTTTGAAAGGGTAGGATACAGATGCTCTGTTTACACCTGGTTTTCTTTTTGATAGCAATTAATCTTTAATTTAAAAAATCATCTTTTTTTTTTTCTTTTTCGGTTCTCTTACAAAGAGACCACCATGACCTAGATTGTAATAGCAATCAATTAGGAATGTCTGAAGAATGTAATTTTCCATGATTTAAAAACTATTCCTTTAGAAGTTAAATCTCATAGACTCTTTCATAGAAAGAGTTAGACAAACTAAGTAAAAGCACTGACTTAACCATTTCCTGAACAAACAATAATCTGTCATAATTTTACTAGTCCTGGAGTCACATACCTTTCTCTGTGTTTATAGACTGAGCTTAAAGGTATCCATGGATGTGCCACCTGAAAGTATTGTTATTTTGGTTGGCTCGGGAGGGAAAATGCAGATGGTGTCACTTCCCCCAAGAGCTTTCCCTAACCTGGAGGAACAGCTGTCCAGTTCTTCCTGTGTCTTCCTGCTATAGGACTCACAACCTGTAGTGTCGGTTTGTGCTCTGTGTGTGTCCGTCTGTCCATGAGCATGTGTATCCATGCCTGTCTTTTTGTGAATATCCCCAGGGAATAAACTAAGTGCTATTTGTTGCGTCACACATTCACAGCTTGCCAAATAGGTATCCATTAGATGCTCAGTGAACAAATGGATGAATGGATGAAAGCATGAATAAATGAATGAACAAATGGATGAATGAATGAATGAATGAACGAACCAACCAACCAACAATGTAGGAGGCCTTTGGCAATGGACCAAGATGCGATGTTCACCCACGGTCACAAGATGGCATTATGATTATGGCTCTCCACAGTCTATGCCACTCCGGAGCTACAGATCCAAATCCTGGAAGTCCCAATCACTCCAAAGAGCTAACAAAGATATATCTACTCCTCAAAACCTTATGGTGTTACTTTGAACATAAATGTAAAATTATTTATTCATAGATCATGAGACTGAGGGGAAAATATGTAACATTTTCTCCTTTTGCATTTAGATCAGTATTATTCAAACCTCAAGAACTTAAAGGGAAGAAAATAATTTTCCCTAAGAAATTATTTTATCCTTCACATTTTTTGACTAGGAAGAAAGCAAGAGTCTTAGTCCACTATTTCTAAAAAATAAAAATAAATTACAGTATAGTGTCAAGCTCCTTTGATGCTGAACCTACCATTTTGAGCTTAAGGCTCAGAAATGTTCTGATACTTGTTTGGGTATCACTGCTCTCCTCTTTGGACCAGGGAGGTATCTGGCTATTAAAACTTGTCCTAAAGGCTATTTCAGACATTAGACACTTAAAAGAAAATTCCAGGAACTGAAACATGGAACAAGCTTCTTTCATTATAATGGAAGCAGCAGAAAAAGAAGGATCTGATGGCAAGGTTAGAGTTAGAAAAAGAAAAACAGCTCTGGAATGAATTAGTACAGAATTGTATATGTCATTAAATAGTTTCCAAATAACATCATAGAAAGTCTTAAAGGTCTAATTTAGTACAGAAAATTGAGTTGAAAGGTGTATTACCTCTTAAGAGGTCAGAACATTTTAATAGAAACATGAAGATGGCACTCACATTATAATATGATAAAAGATCATTTTAATCCTCATAATTAGAAGAATTTCTTCTTAAAACCATACCTTAACATGTATTTTTAAATGTGTATGAATGTTTTCAAATACTTCCGTAAAAATATTTTTAAAGAAATGTTTTAATTACTGAACACTATGTACAAAGATCTATTGTAAAATGAATAAATTGCAGTCTCTACCATCAAGGGTGGTAAAATATTGTAGGCATCTTGGTCAAAAGAAAACTCTAAAATGAGTCAGGAAAGAGTCTATTTATAGATCTAGCTTTACACTTAGACATGTGTGTGACACTGCACAATATAATTAAATTGCATTCCTATAGTCTGCCAAACTGCTTTTCCTTTAAAGTTCTCCATGGGCAGAACAGCAGTCAGAGGTCACTGGGACCCACTTCACAGCATTATCAATACTATTACCATGCTGTGGAAACACAAGGTACTGCAGTCTCATCAATACATGGCCAAGGACACATGTCCTTGTCATTATAATAACTTGGTTTGAAGATGGTTAGTCACAAAAACTTAACAGAAGCCTCTATGTATGAATTAACTGACTTCTTTATTTTATTTATTTACTGGCAGTACTGGGGTTTGAACTCAGGGTCTCATGTTTCCTAGGCAGGCACTCTACCATTTGAGTCATGCCCTAAAAACCTCTATGCATGAATTTAAGTCATTTGAGTCCTTAAATAATCTGTCTTTCATGAAACAAACTTATATCCATTAATTCTAAAAGAAATTTCTTTTTCTGATATTAGCTGTGATATAAACCAACATGTTAAGGCCAAAATGATTTCCTTCTATGTGCATATCTGTGAGTGTGAATGGTTTAGAGAAAAATCCCATCAAATTTCTTACAGATTAAGCTATGCTTGAAGGTATTGATTATACAGTAAAGATAACATTTTGATGCCCAGTCCCAATGAAGTTCCCAAAGCTGCAGTTTAGGAGTCTACTCCTTGTCTAGCCTCACTATAAACACCTAGACTCTTCCAAGGGAAGAGAACAGAGCAAGGAAGTCATTAGGCATTGTTCTCATAATGTCTAAAGGCCTGATTAAATTCAGATTGGTGAGATCATCAAGAATTGCTTCTAAAGCTAACAACCTTTCTGAATTTCTCCCAACACTTCCAACACTGCTTTTTATACTGGCTTAAAGGGGGAGACTTTTGCTTACACCACAAACTGAAGAGTTCTCCAATAGAAGGAACTCCTCTGTCAGAACTCCATAGTCAGTATGCCACTGAGGAAAGAGTGGTGAGGCAAAGTGTGTCCTGATATAAAGGTAAAGAAAGTTTGGCCTGACAGAGACAACCTGGTTACCGGCAGATTTGCCAGACAAATTCTGACACCTGGGATATTGAATTCTCTAATTGATACCATATCTCCTGTACAATTTTCCTAACCACAAACAGAAATTTTATTTGTTTCTATTTTTATAATGTACTTATCTAAATGGCTACAGAAAAAACTCACAAAATTTCAAGAATTTGTTTGCCAAGTATAAATTTTTGCTATCTTTGGAAATAACTACTATGACCTTCATAAAAGCACTCATTAATTTTTATTACTAATCTAAAAGTCAAGTTTCTGTGGTTGCTTTCCTATATACATGAAGTTTATGTAATCAACAAATGAACTTTTTACTAACCATGAACCTGGACTGAGAGGAGTCTGGAAAAGCCAGCTTACCAGCAGTAGTCGAGAAGATGTGGAGGAAGCACAGGGATGTATATGTGCTGCCAGAACATTGGGTACAGCAGAGCAGCCGATCCATGAAGACAGGCAGTTAACTAAAATTTGCAAGAGGATAACAAAATAAGTACCTGCAGACACTCCACACAAAAAGGCACGTTCAAGGTATCAAAGACAAACGATAATTATAGAACAGTTTATGCAATGACATAACTCATTGTCTTTAACCAACTCTACATGTAAAAAGTCTGTCTCGGATGCCCCTCTGAAAAATACATAAACAGCCAAGTAGCTTCTTGGAAATCCTATGGAGATAGTAATAACCACCTAAAGATATAGTTTGGGGTCAAAATTTAGCAAAGAAATGAAAGCTAAACTGAAAAATTAGGTAAGCATCTTAGAAAACATTGTAGGAAATTACAATTTGTGCAGCACAGTTTGCGCATCACTCAGATTAATACAACACGATTAAATATGGAAAGGAAGGGAGGCTGAAAGCTCCTGAGGGATATCATTAGGGCAAATTGCCAAAGAATGAAACATGAGCCAGTCAAGAGAGTCTGGAAGCTGCCGTAGTACCAGGGGACTTGAATGTTCGACAGTTGGAGCTTCAGCAACGTGTGAACCATGGGTTATGGTATCAAGAGACTCTGTTCACTGACACATAGAATGTCACTATTGACCAGCAAGCTACCCAAGCTTGACAGCTGTACTACAGGAAGCCAAGTATGTCATAATTTCATATTTAAACTGTTCATTCCAGATTAACATTTTGTTTCCTAGCTTTATATCACAACAGCTGCAATTACATTGTTGCTATTTTAAAGGTAATTGCCATTTTAATTGTTTTGTTTTAGCAGGCATTTAATTAAACATTTTAATACCTAACAAAGGGGCATCCGTTTTTCTCTCCTTCCTACTGACCCTCACCAGAATTCTTTCCATTTTACAATACATGTAAAATCATGTTTTTGGTGTTTTAAAGTAGTGATAAGACCAGCATTCTTTTCCATCATTTTAAAGTTTTGCTACAGCCTCTATTTCAATGTTACAAACTAAATCTTTCATACAACTTAGAAATTAGAATTTAAAAAACTATCTGAAAGTAAACCACAGACTTTTTAAATAAACTATTATTTCTACTTTATTATTATACCAAAAATTAAACATCACATGATAATCACATTTAATTTAAAAGAATGACACAAAGCAATATTAAGTCATATTAATGGCATCAGTTCCTATGTGTAAGTGCAAAATAACTGCATTAAATAAAAACTCAATTAAGACAATCTGATTTAGGCTGAACACATAAGAATTTTCATGAAACATGTACTCATATTTGTCATATATGTTATATTTTTTCCAGTCAGATTTTTGATCAATTTTATAAGACAAATAATGGATCCTGATTCCATGTATGATACTATCATTATAGGATTTTAGTACATGACATTTATAAGCTTTATTAGTTTGTCATAGTATTCTTTCAATAAGTATTTTTAATTCTTTAATTAGAGCACATGATATGCCACTAGGAGGCATCAAATACTTCCATTTAACAATGACAGACCATGGATTTATTCATGTTATAAAGTTGAACTGGAGGAAAATGAAATGAAGCTAATCTAACTCCTTGTGTCAAATTCTCCAGAGCTCTCTGGCTCAGGCACACCCTGGCTGTAAATTAGGCGTCTTTAAAGCCGTATTAACTCTTTCCAGCCATCCGGTGTAACAGGATAGGCTAAAAAAGCTTATGTCACTTCGAAAGGCAGCTAATTACTCAATTTCCCCATCTGCACATAGTAGACTTTTTAGACGTCTCATTTAAATATTTAAAATCTTTTTTAAAAGGGGGAAAGCGTTTTCTTTTCTATTATTGAAGAAATAGTAAGAGTGAAGCAAAAGGGAAAACACAATCTGAAAATGAAGAATCCTAATGAAGGCAACTTACCTCACTGAGCACCCCAGTCCAAAGCACCCTACGAAATGCTACCTAGACACTCCCTCTATCCACCAATGGCCTTCCTTACAACAAATTATTCATTAGTCACTAGCAAGACACACCAGGATGTGACAAATTTGGTTTCTTAGAGGATGGTTTCTGTGATTATAAGCAAAGTCACAGAATTTCTTCAATGGTAGCATCTTTCAGGGGTTTATGAAGTTAACGGGAGAAAGTAGAAGCATACCAAATAATATCCCTAGTATTCACCCAGCAGCATGCAAGAGCTACATGATTTTGAGAATCAAGAAAATGTCCTTAGGGCATAAACTTTGTAGAGAAGACAGCAAAGATGCAATACAGAAAAACATAATAAAAAGTAAATTTTCTAGGGAATCAAAGACATCAAATATGTAAGTTGTATAAAATTAAAATGATCAAGTATATCAGTAAAAAAAAGTTATATATGTTAGGGCACTGATACTAATGAGCTGTGTGCCCTCTGACACACCTGCTAATATAATCAGGTCTCAGTTGCTTACATATTATGTGGCAGGCCAACAATAAGCAAGTAAGGCGTATGTTACAGATTGAGCAACCTTAATCCAAAAAGACAAACCTGTAATGCCTCCAAATCCAAAAGTTTGTGGAGGCTGATATGACATCACAAGTGGAAAATTCCACACCTGATCCCATGTGACCGGTGACAGTCAAAACACAGGCACTGAAAATATTGAATAAAAACCTTCAGGCTCTATGTGTAAGGTGCACATGAAACATAAATGAATTTTGTGTTTAGAATTAAGTTTCATCTCAAGACATCACATTATGTATATGCAACTACTCCAGAATCCATTAAAAAAACCCAAAATACTTAAAGTCCCAAGCATTTCAGGTAAGGGATAATCAACCTGTCTGTTAGTTAGAGATAACTTCTATGAAGAAATCTAAATCAGAGGAGTGGGACAGAGTGACATTGAAGCTATCAGAGACATGAAGATTACAGAACTCTGATGTGAACACATCTGAACTGAGATCCAACTGAAGTCAAGGGGCAAGCTATTGTGGATTTGGAAGAACATTCCAGGCAAAATGAAACAAGACATTAAAAAATCCTGAGGGAAAACATGCTTGCTGTCCTCACAGAACCACATGGGGACACATGAGATTATATGGGAGTAAATAGGAGAATGGCAGGACATGAGATCAGACAGGGAAGCAAGGTCAAAGATGGAGAGCCATCTAGATCAGGCAAAGACGAAATCTCATTCTGGATGAGATTTTCCATATTTCTGAGAAATGAGCTTACTGTCACAACAAATCATTTACTTGAAACACCTTATGAATTATACAAATGAAGGGAAATAAAATATGTATTTTAGAAGGTTGGTTTGCTGTGTATGGTACTACAAAGAAGTGAGATCAATTTTACAAAGCCAAGTAAAAAGAAGACTCTTACTACTTTAAAGTGATTTATGATATATTGACTCTTTAAGTTTAAAGGGAAATGACTTATCATATAGTTTTTTTGTAAGCTAGAATTATCCAAGATTGTCTGTCTGTTTAGTGACAGGGCTATGAGTTCACATTGCTTTTGTAATTGTTTTGTTACTAACACAGTTATTCTTCATGAAAGTAGAAAGGATGAAGGAATTTCTGTGTTTCAGTTAAAACATATTTCTGACATTATACCCCAGAAACAGAAGACGTGATGCATTGCTATCATCATCAGAGAAAAATAAAGTCCCCAAATAAAGGTTTAAGAAAACAATTCTTATCTTTAAGTGACTTATGAATATTTAAAATGTAGTTCCAAAGGGCTGACTAATTAGAAATGAAAACATGGAGAATATATATTTCTTACTGTGTATAATTATAAAATAAGCATATATAGAAACCGCATGAAGATACAAGAACTGGAGCCTGTAAAATTATCAGATGGAGAAACTTGACAACTGATGTCAGCAATAGTGACCCAGGTCATAGAATAAAGGCATTTGGAACTTTCAATCCCAGGTTACAATGTCTAATAGAGATAATGCTTTTGATAACAACTGATGGTAGTAATAATAATTGCAAATATTTATATAATACCCACCAGTGTCAGACACTGTTATGATACTCGAAGTATCTAGATATAATCCTCACAACAATCTTACGATGCAAATTCTATTATCATTATTTCCATTTTACAGATCAGGTCAATGAGGCAAAGTTAAACTGACCACCCATGAACATACATCTTATAAACAGCAAAGCCAGGATGCAAACTAAGGCAGGCTGAATCCACAATATGGTAACCACCATTTTAAACTGTCTTTTGATATACAAAGGCTTAAAAATCTTATCATTATGAGGCTTTGGATAACATCTACTCACTGAAAATATTTTATACCAATTATATAAAATAATATATGTTTGGATAGAAAAGTAAAATAAACAAGGACAGTTGACCTTTGTATGAAAAATATAGAGATCTATGACAGACAAAGATCCAATTTACAACACTTTGCCAGGGCATCTCAGTTTGCAACTTCAGCAGGAAACCAATAGAACAGACTCCCTTGGAAAATGTTAAAAGATAAGATCATTAATAAAAACTCCACAAGTTACCTCTCAACCCATATCTGCAAGTACAATTAAGTCTGAAACCAAACCACTTTTCTCCTCTATTGTGTTATGCAATCTTATCTGTTCCTAGTTCTTAAACTGTATTTATTAGAGGAAATCAGCCTAATAACAAAACTAAGTACTTACTGTCTTAAGCAATTGAGTAGGTGTGTATTTTTTTTTATTGTTGTGCTGGGTGTGGGTACCTTGTAGCATTTACAAAAGTTCTTACAATGTCTCAAATATATCATACTTGAATTCACCCCCTCCACTGCTCTCCTTCATCTGGCTTCCCCCAATTCCTGGAACAGTTTCAACAGATATCATTTTTGCACTTACATACATGTGTGTATATTATTTGAACTGTATTCATTCTCTTATATGTATTTTGAAGAGAAAAATACATTTATCAGATTCACATGGAGACAGCAGGAAAATGATCCATCTTATGTAATGACCACAATGGAAAAACAGGGCAATTCGCGGTGGCATCCCTCACAGGCAAAGATGTCATATGGACACATTGCTAGTCTCACTATTCTA